GCGACATGATCGAACCAGGGCGGCTTGCCGAAAGTTTTCGTTTCGGCGGTGCGAAATCGAGTGATACCAAACTCATCTGAAAGAGAAGGGGATTTTCTTGATCAATATGAAAACTGATTTACAGCTGCGATCAACTAATTAGCTCCGAAATTAAAATGATATTGTTTGTTTATTTTTGATAAATTTCATTTAAAATATAATCCAATCAAAATCCAATCCAAAACATAAACCACATAAATAGGAATTTCAAAGCTTGCACAAATTTCTAAAAAAATAATCAAACTTTATGAAATTTTTATCAAAATTTCCAAATTTTTAATTAGAGTATTTAGAAAATTTCCGGAGATGCAGTTTTGTAGCCTATTTAATTTTAGTTTGATAAAGTGCATGTTTCAAGTCGCTAAGAATTACCGTTAATATTTTTTTGAATTCATTTTGTGGAGGGTGGTGCGGATTCTTTTCTCATAAAAATAGATTTTGATCATATGCTATATGGAAAAAATGCGCAATACCCTCCACAAAAAAAAAATTAAATGGGCTACAAAACTGCTTGCCAGAAAGTTTTCTAAATATTCTTATTAAAACTTTTGAAAAATTTACGAATATTTTTTAAAGTTTGATTAATTTTTTTAGATTGGTGCAAGCTTTGAAACTTTTGAGGTGGACCCATCATTCTATGTAGTTCTGAACTTTTTCTTCCATTCCGTAAGAAAACTAAAACGATGAATCCGTCTTTATTTATGTGGGTCTTGGTATAGATTATTAGTTGATCGCAGCTGTAAATGCCAGTTCCAATAAAATTATTTTTGTATGCATTGTTTACTAACTCACTACTGCAATCTGACTCACCCTTCATGTCATTCGGATCGAAATAGTTCGGTCGCTCATAGCCCATTGTCTGTCCAAATACCGCGCCAGCTTCTTTGAGCGCCGGATAGATTGGCGACATGCGCAAATTGCGTCCCGTTTGAAACTCACTGAATGGATAGTTGATTTCGAAGTGTTTGCCGGGCACCTCTTTACAGCGATCGCGTAAAAATTTTCGATTATTATGCAGTCCCAAAAATCGGCTAATGTCCAGGATATGTAGATCCACAAACGTTGACTGTTTCACTATTAAATCAGCAATAGCGCGCCCAATGCCGCCTGCAGCTGATACGCCTATGGTTTTCATGCCCGCCGACACAAAGTAATTTTGTATTTCGGGCGCTTCACCCAAAATCCATTTGCAATCTGGCGAGAATGCTTCCAATGAGTTAGTAAGTCTATCCAGTTTTGACGACTTGAGCAAAGGCACGCGGTGTAGTAGCTCGTCGAGCAAGCCGTGGAAGTGATCCCAGTCTGGTGGCAGCTGACGTTCCCTCTGCAGCAGTGGTATGCCCCCATCTTCGTAGAGCATTTTTGCCTCGCGCTCAAAGCCGCCTAGTAGAAAATTAAATCATTATCAATTATTCTACATAGCCGGTACCTATATTAATTTCTGCCACTCACCGGCCAATATGCGCCCATTCTTTTCACGGAAATACACGCCACCGTCGTAGTCACGCACAAAAGGCGTCATCGGATCGAGTCCTTCAATCTGTTTCGTGTGCAGATAATGATGCTCCACCGCTTTTAGTGGCACCTTAACTTTCGGCGTTGACAGAGTACCCACCCCACGTGCCCAGAAACCCGCACAATTGACAAAATAGTCGCAGAGCACATCACCCGCTGAGGTTTCGATGCCGGTTACTTTACCATGTGCGCTGTTAATCTTCAATACCGCACAATGCTCCACTACCTGTACGCCCAAGCGTCGCGCTTCATCAATAAACGAGTTGCAAACTTGCTTTGGATCGCAAACACCATCTTCAGGTATCCATAAACCACCTGCTAGATCGCTCGTCTCAATCATCGGGCAGTGCTCCTTACATTCGTCGGCGGTCAATATCTCACAGTTGATACCCCAAGCGCGCCCTTGTGAGCGCATGCGATGGAATACGGTCATGCGATCGAAAGTGCGTGCTAAATTTAGGCTGCCCACTTGCTGCCAACCCGTGGGCAGTCCTTGCACCGTCAATGATTTAACCAAGTCTATTGAGTACTCAGCTAGTCGCAATTCCGAGTAGCTTGGCTCAAAGCGGCCTGCCAAACCGCTAGCAGCCCAAGGATTACCGCTACCTACTTTGTCCTGCTCAATTAGGATAGTGTCTTTGCCCCAGCCCTGCAGTGCCAGATGATAGGCTACTGATGCACCCACAGTGCCACCGCCACATATAACGACACGAGCTTGTTCAGGCAAGTTGACATCGGATGCAGTACCTTCAGGCTCGTGCGGTTTGAACTTACGTTTTCGCAGCACATTGGCTTGTGCCGGTTCACCAGCGTCGGCAGTTTGCTGTTGCAGCGCGCACAGATTGATGGACAGTGGAGAGTGTGACGCTAGCAGCTGCTGGAATCGCCAGATATTTGGAACGACGCCGGTTCCGCGGCGTAAATGTAGCATGGTGCTTGGAGGGGGGTTTGGCGTCGATACCCTTTGCGTCGATGTGTTTGGTTTTATAAAGCAAGACGCAAATAAGTAGATCACATTTGTTGCTTCTCGCCTGCGGATGCACGAAATGGTTTTATAAAGCAAGACGCAAATAAGTAGATCACATTTGTTGCTTCTCGCCTGCGGATGCACGAAATTTTCCAGAAATTCACAGCTGACCTGCTTTTTTTAATTTGAATTTCTATACAAAAATAGAAACATATAACAACTTTTCAATTATGTATTTGGAAATGTTCTGTATAATTTATTTTTAGCAAAAATCACAGCTGATAGGCAATTAGACGTGTTTTGACAGCGCATCAACAAAAACAGAGAGGAAAATAACAGAGTACAAAACAGAGAGAAATGTGATACCGGTGATAAGTGTTGCCAGAGTTATTCTATCGGTTAATGTTAGATTAAACGCCAAATTCCTACAACTTCCAGCATACTGCTGGTAATGAATTTTATTTTTACACGATAAAGTCATAATTTCTGAGAACGTGAATGATATCTGTTTGGGATCCCGCGTTCAGTCATGATCAAATTACACAAGATCTGACAAGATGAAATACCAAATGCCAAATTGTGGACAAATGACGCTTACGACAAAATTTTACTAAATAAAATCCTTTATAAACTAAACTAATTAACAATAAACATCAAAAATTAAATCATTTAAGAATTTAGGGAACTAGTAACATTTTCAGAGACTTTGGAGAAATTCTATCCTCGCGTTTTTGAAAAATTGCATTCTCCCGATTTCCCACAACCTGCCGAAATAAACACACGACAATCTTTTACCCAGGCGACGACATATAGAAACATCTCTACTAACCAGCCGTCTTCACCGGCTTGAAAATCTCGCTTGCGTTATACTTTTTTCATCTCACGAGCGAGATTTTCGTTGACTGGGCATTTCATTTGTAAAATGTCGCCAAAGAAGAAGGTTCGACCATTGCAGGCTAAATTTGTATTTGTCGCCAAAATAAATGGTGTTGCTACTCTGAAGAATTCTGAGAAATGAAAACAATAACTGTCAAACAACAAAAATGGCTGTTGAAAGCAAGCGAGAGCTCGCAAAACACTCGGTATGTAAGAAAAAGTATGCGGTTACACAACTATATACCGGTACTTAACAAGAATGTCAGATTAATCACAGATATTTTTCATGTTTTATTCAGCACTTTCGGCCGCCGCTGTGGTGTAGTGGTAAGCAGTGCGCGCTTTCACTCATCAGCACCTTGGTTCAAGCCCTGATCAAAGCAACATCCCAAAAAATATAGAAAAAGGTTTTTTCTTAACAACGGTCGTCCCTCGGCAGGCAATGGCAAAGCGCCGAGTGTAATTCTGCCATGAAAAACAGCATATCATAAAAACACAATCGCCGTTCGGAGTCGGCATAAAACTGTAGGTCCCTCCGATTTGTGTGACAACATCAAGGCGCACGCCACAAGTCGGAGGAGAAGCTCGGCCAAACACTAACATATGTGTAAGCGCCAAACTATTATAATTATATATTCAACACTTTTATAATGTTATTCAAATTCGGCAAAAAAATGTGTCCCACGGCAACACTCGATTGGTTTGACAAAACTTGCAACAAATATGAAAATTGCTAGTGCAGCACGTGCAAGCTGAAATTATTTCTCGAAAGCGATTTGCGTTATTTCAGTTGCAGTTACACCTTGCAATTTTTATTTCCGAAAGTGATTTCTGCAAATCTGCAAAAAGGACTTTTATTTTTTTATTTTGAGTCATATTTTTGATTTCTGTTTGGAATCCCGCGCTAAGTATAAAAAGAACCTAACGAATTATTGAGAAGTTAGGATTTCTAATAAAACTGGTATATTAAGCCCCGACACACTAGTCTGTAACACACTTAGAAATATCTACTAACCGGCCGTTTTCACTTGCTTGAAAATCTCGCTGAAGACGCTCGTTTACATAACTATTGGGGTGTTCACAGTTCGTTCCAAATTGTGTCTGAAAATGTAGACGTCTACATTTTGAGACATCTTTAGCATCAAACTGTGAGCACCCCTTTCTAGCAGTCGTCGCAAAATCGTCTCAAAACTTTGCTGGTGTTGCCAGA